CTTGTGATTTTTGTAATTTTTCTTCTCTTAGCTATTTATGGTAAAGAATTGGCTGTACCCATAAAGAACACCAAAGTTTATCCACTTGTTGGAGCTTGAGATTTCCACTTTTCTCCGTTTAAAATCCAATCAAAATTTTCCTCTGTTAAGGGATATTTTTTATTTGGTTTATATTCATATGAAAAATTATGGCTATGTTTGCCAGGATTTTCTAAGAGTTTAGGGATACAATGGCCTCTCTCAAACAAGGCTTATGCCCTTCCCCACTTGATGCCTTTGAAGGTTACACAAGATGATAAGACTAAGAAGATCGGGAATGATCCCCTGTTGTCCTCTGTGTTCATGCCCACATCTGAAATTCAGGTTTGACATATAATTCCCTCATTCTCTTTCTCAACCTACTTGGTATGGAGAATCAGATCAGAGTTTCATACTTACTCTAACAATTAAGTCACTTTCATTCTTTGTTGATTTTTCTATTCTTATTTGGTTAGGTAGAAAATATTAAATTAGACAATAATAGCATTCTAATTCCAACATTTATTTCATTTTATTGCATTCCTTTTCTCATTCCATGGACTTTTGCATTTGGAGTAAATCTGGCTTTATGGTTTTTCCAGAGAGTATTTCAGATGGGTCTAATAGAAAAAGTTCTATGAAACAGTCTATCTATGTTTCAGCTTTAATTTTTGGAAGTATGTTCTTTGGCTTTCCTTTGCAAGTTGAGCTCAATGATTGTATACTTGACTGCTTGAAGATTTTTTGTAGATTTGTTAGTCATCGGTAAAATCCTGATTCGATGATTGTGATTGTGTTTTTATTATATTCCCTTTATTAGTTTTATTATCTAGAAATCCTTTAGTGACAACAAGGAAGGAGATACTTAATTTTTATGTTGACTGGTTGTTTTATGCAGCACGATGTGCATTCTTTGCATCGTCAGTATGAGATGAAGATGTTTCCAGTCGCCAACCAGGCAGTTTCAGTTCCTATGAGCAGTGGTTTTTTCCAAAATCATTTTGCAACTTGTGGGCAGAATTTGCCTGCTGCTACCATGAAGTCTCAATTGCTGGGAGGAATTCCGGTTGCAACTGCACATTCAGTTCTTCCCGCTGTTGGTTGTGTTGGTGGAATGGCTGAACCGTGGTAATTTTATATTCTTCGAGAGTGATTTCACCTAAATATTGTGACAAATACAGACACACTACTTACATAAAAATCTCAATTAGAAGATATTGGAACCTGATTAGCATTTACTTGTTCAGGAATGATGTCAAAATGACAGGCTCTCCTGCACAACTTACCATCTTCTATGCTGGGACAGTGAATGTGTTTCAGGATATCTCCCCTGAGAAGGTTCTTTCGCATTCTCTATCTTTCAGGAAAGACTATTTTCCAAATATTAATTGTTAATTGGGTCATTACTAACTGACTTTTGGGTATCTCATCCAGGCACAGGCTATCATGTTCATGGCTGGAACTGGGTCTTCTATGATGACACACCCAAAAGTTCATGTCCCGGCACCTAGCTCAAAGCCGGCAGCTGGTGATGGTTCTCCTGTGAATCAGCCCATAAGCACACCACCCAGCTCTGGCCTGTCTAGCCCCCTCTCTGTGTCATCACATACTGGTGCTCAATCGGGAAGTGGGTCCACCAGCACTGAAGACATGATGGCAGCTAAAACTGTCGGAATTGCAACTGCTCCGGTAAGCAAAGTAGAGCCTCCAAAGATGGTGAATGCAGTAGGATCTGTTTCTGCTACTAGTATGATCCCATCAGGTATTAAATTGAATTTGGTAACTGTTTTCCTTAATAGTTACCATGATTAATTCCAGTAACCTTGTTCATGAATACTGCAGATATACATAACCTTAATGTCACCCCAGATCTGACATAATAAAAGCAAGGCTTCTATGTTTACCATACTTGAATAACAATCTGGGTATTTTATTTGACAGTTCCACAGGCTCGCAAAGCATCCTTGGCCCGGTTTTTGGAGAAGCGCAAGGAGAGGTTAGTTATAAATGAAATTAGATGATATCTGATATGTGTAGCTTATATATTTACTCTAGTTTATTGTCTTCTGATGTTTTGTTTTACACTTTTTGGCATCCCAGAGTTATGAATTCAGCTCCTTACAACCTACACAAGAAATCTGCAGAGTGCACCGACGCAGAATCCAACGGCATGAATTACTCAGCATCATCTGCAGCAGGAACTGGTTGTTTTTGAGCAACGAAAGAGGGCAAACCAATGACCGATGCAGAAATTTTTACAAGAAAAATTTCTGTAGTATAAGCAATGGTCAATTTGTTGTATTTTAAGCTTAAATTGATTTTGTTTTGAAATAGCTACTGGTGATGGGTTTTACCCTGAAATTCCTTTTAAGGTGGATGATTTCATGTTTGTAAGCATCGAACTATTGTTACTTTTGTAGAAATAATAATACAAGGCGAAAGATTTCTTCTATTAATTTCTTTAATGGGCATAAAATATAAATTTACAGATGAATTAACTATAAATTAATGATTGAGTTAATCACAAATTAATAAAATAATTAGAAATTAGGATTTAGGATTAAGAAATAATAATTGTTTGGTCCCACCCCATATGGGATTTACACGTGCAAACGATTGGATATTAGCCAAGCGATGCCACACTTTAAAATGTGATTTTGCAAATTGCAACTTTTGGAATCTCTCTCATTTTTCAAACTTCTGTCTCCATACAAACTGTATGTATGGTGCAAATTAAACCGATTATTATTTGGAAATCAGAAAAAATTTAAAACTATTTATACTCACATGTTTTCAATTATCAATTTAACTAATCAAAATATAATTAAAATTTATTATACCATGCTTTTATTTTTGGTAACTACAATTATGATATAGTAATGCATTTTGAATTTATCTTAAAGTAGTAATTTAATTTCATTCTAAATTTAATAATTAAACTTAATTTTATCAAGTATTTGAAAAAAAAAAATTGTCTAGTTTTCCTTCCTTAATTATTACTTAGATTTAAGCTGGTATCATGTAAACTAAAATTCGATATTAATTTTGAGTTAATATTATGTATTTTTGTATTATTTAGTACATATCTATTCATCTATTTATTTATTTTAATTATGTATATAAAATTTTACTTATTTACTGTTAAATGATTTAAAAGAATTATCAGAGATATTAAAAAAAAAAAAACAACCCAATTAAGTTAATTTAATTAATTTGAGGGGTAGAATATAAAATTTAAAAATATATTTTCTACAAAGAAATCTTAATGCTCGCTACTATATGTTTGATTACATGGCACGGGCAAGGCAACCTTCTACATGTGTTACATGAGCATGCATATTCAATACTCTTCCCCAGTTTTAAGTGGAGATTTCAGTATAATCATTTTACCTTTATCTAAAGTCGTAATAATAATAATAATAATAATAATAATAATTTTATACCCAATCAATTTAATGGAAAATTCTAATTCCCACCAACCTCCAGGAAAGTCATTGCTTTATAACGAAAATTATTTTTAATAAATTAATATATTCATTTATTATATAAAATGTATATATTAATTATAATATAAGAAAAATAAATTTTATAATTTGATTTAAACTAATAATTTTTTTTTATAATGGAAATAACATACTAATTATTTAGCTAAAATAAGCTATTAATTTTAAAATATTTTCCAATTAATTTATATTCAGATATTTGTACCCAAGTTACAGAGATAGAAAGAAGTAAAGGATTAAAGAAACAAAAAAGCCAAACATATTCTAAGGTAGTTGTTGAGACAAAAATAATTGCCGAAAATCCAAATCAACAGCATCAATATTCACGTGCTTAATTAATACTTTAAAAAATAAAAATAAAAAGGTTTAATCTCATCCATTCATTATATATTTATCATCCAGCAAGATATTAATAACCGATTTCCTTTCTTTGTAATATTTTCTATTGTTTGGATGTCTGAATGAGTGTTTTTATGTCAATATGACGTGTAATTTTCGTCATACCCCACATGAGGGAAAATAAAAGAAGTGTGGTATGTTGCCATGTGAGGTTGTATTGTCACCATTCGTTTTTTCAAATCAGATTCCCCAATTTAGGGCTTCTCTGTGGGGAGAAGGGCCATTTACTGTATGAACTAAAGGTGGTCAATACATATATATGATACGTACCTGCATGATAAGCTTTTAGTTGGTCCCCAGAATCTGAATCACACATAATAATATTGACAATGAAATGAAGCACGTTTATCATCTTGGGAGCTAGCAAGATCTTGCTTTTTGATAATATGCCAGCTGGAGCACCCACTAATTGTTTGACACAGATCAAAGTTTGCAGAGGAAGATGCTATTCCAACTTTACCAAAAAATTATATCACTTAATCCCTTGTGAATTAAACTGGTTTTAGTGAAGTTTTGTTAGGGTTCGCTTTGGTATTTTTTATCCTGATACTGATATTTGATATGACGTACCAAATAAATTAAGAAAAACACGGACAAATTAATGCAGTAGATTCTTAAAATAGTGAGAGAGAGAGAGAGAGAGAGAGAGAAAAAAAACATGAAACTATATATATAATATATATGTATAATATTATATGCACTTTCTGTGAAGAAGGCACTCAAATTATCAAGTCCAAAAACAAGAAAAGAGCTGGTGAGTAAAGATTGACATATTAACCCTTCAATAAAAATGAGAATGTACTTTTAAATCAAAAATCAGTATTATAATTAACACAATTTAGATATTTTAGAGATAGATACAAATTGAATTATGCGCTGAATATACTTAAATTAGTAATTAAAGTATAATAAAAGAACTAAAAAAGGAAAGTTTCTTGGTAACATAAAAAGAATGTAATTGATTATTCTTAAACCATGTTTTATATATAATAAACTTCACTCGAGAAACTTAAAATTAATTCATGATGTCACCAAAACGTCACAATCAGATTCATTTGGATCTTTAAAATGGCTTTAGAGTCTGCACCAACCCCCAAATCTACTTTTTTATTCTTTTTTTTTTTTTGTTGAACTTTTTGATTTACAAAGTAGAGAGTTAAAAAAGACGTGGGAAGAATTGTCTTCAAGACTGGATCCAATGAGATCATCCTGAGGTCATTTTCTTTCATACCATGTAAAAATACATCAGAAATATAATAGTTATGAAATGTAGGCTTATATTATAGCATATAAAAATATAGTTTCATTAGTATATTAATTAAGTTATATTGATTAAATAAATTTATTAGATTTTATTTAATAAGTAAATTTTTTTAATTTAAATAATATCAATGAATTAAAATTCTAAATTAATTTTTTTTTAGAAAAACATATTTTTATAGTATTTAATTAGTTAAAATAAAATTAATTTTAATTGTAATTACACTTATTTTAATTTTGAATAATGACTAAAAAGTGATGAATGAAGGTTATAATCTTGGCTTTAGTCATTAATTTTATTTTTAAAATTTTTATCTTAATTAGTCATCAAAATTTATTTGAATATTTATAATTATTATATGGTTTGTTATTCTAAAATAAATTAACTCAAAATTCTTTTTAGAAAAATTTAAAATTGAGTATAAAGAGAAAATATAAAATAATTTAAAATTTAAAATTCCATATTAAATTTAATAATTTTATAAACTTATAATAATATAAAATAAAAAATATGTATAATTTTTTAGTACACCGTAATATATAATTTTATTAACTAAAATCAATCAAAAAATTTTTATCAGTTTAGCGTCTAGTAATATATGCATGTATTCGATATCTTTAGAGAAATCAAATTAGATATGATTGTTATAATTATTTAAAAGTACTACAATTTGTTGGAACTAATTGTTATAATGGATTCATAATATGTTATTAGTGATTGCAACCTAACATTATAATACTATTACATTTTGTTATAATATTATTCTATTCTTGACTTAATTAGAAAAAGAGAGAAATTTTTTTAAACAGATTATAAAGATTAGTTTGGTAAAGAATATAAACTAAAATTACAAGAATGTATTTTAACTTTTTAAACATTAAGAACATTTAAAAATACGAGAGTTTTAAAAAGAGTTAAACTTTTCATATTTTCAACTGGCAACCTTCCATCTCTAGTTTATATAATTTAATTTTAACTAAAGTATATTATCTTCTTTTAATTACAAAATTTCATAACTTTCATATTTTTATATACAAAATTATTTGAATCATAATTATAAGCCAACTCCACGAATACAAAATTAAAATAAAATCAAATATAAAATTATATTAGAATTCTATATTGAAGAATATTTTAGTCGTCCATAAAATTGATTACCTAGAGAGTGAGTCCTGCTATAACACCGGTAAAAAGCAGAAATTACATAATACAAAGATGGAACCATATATTTATATATACACATATATATTTGTTTTTTTTTTTCCAAAGGCGGAATCAGAATTGCATCATAACTTCTTTGAACAACCTCCAAACTCCATACAGAATTTATTGAGCGTTAGATATCTAATTCTTATTTCTCAAAGTGGGAATTTAAAGTTTCACCAAATGGAAAGTGGGAACAAAGATGTTAAAACCAAAATTGTGAGGCAATTCTATCCATAAAAAAAGTTAGAAATTGAAGCAAGCGGAACCAAGAGAACTTAAAAGAGATTGAATCAGTGAAGCAAAAGAGAAGACTTCCTCTGTAACCTCCAAATATGATATAATCTTTAATATCTTGTCCTGCCTATAGAAATAAGACCGTCTTTAAAGGCTTATGAAACTTCCCAGTCACCTATATTGTGTTTACCTCTAAATATCCTACATCGGGATCCAGAATTGAAATAGTAGTGAAGGTCAATATCTCTAACGTTCAGAATATCAAAGGAACTAGGTTCTTTAAATTTTGGCAGCTAACTGAGACAACATGGTATATAACCTAATAGTTTCCTTCTGAAATCATGTGTGTGGTGAGGTTGGCACATTTAAATTACCGTTAAATAGAATAGTCGCATTCCAAATTTTACTCTCCCCCTTCCTCATATGATACAACAAAGAGTAACCCGAACTTGCATGTCCTTTTTTTTATTCATCACATATACTTATATTCTAATACTCTAAACAAAATATTGATTAGAAAACTTCAGAAAATATCTCTACTTTACCGACAGAAATATCAACTTTCTTGTTTTAGTTGGTGGCAGTAAACAACCATGCCCAAAATGGATGAGCCATGGCCCGTCTTCGTATAAAGAAATGCACTTGTTGCAAATTAAGCTGAGAAACACTGGACTTCCCAGCTAACTTTTTATGGCTCTTCAACCACAATGCATTTTGGACTTGAAACAACAAAATCCATGCCACAGACAATCGGAGTGACATTAAAGCTTTGTAAAAATATCTTAGTTCTGCAGGTAATGCTGAGGACAGATGCTAGAGTTTGTCAAGAGGTGCTCTGCACTAACTTTGGATGAGTAGCAGCATATATTGAAGAATTTATATCAGGTTTCAAGTGGGTAAGAAAAATGCTGTATATCTGGACGGAGACTTTCCGCTGCTCTTCCTACGAGAGCCAAAATCTCTGGTCTAGGTTTGCTGTTAGCCTGCACAGGCCCCCCTGTCCTTCATAATGACACATGATGACTGAAAAAGGGCATGAATTAGTGCCTCCTTTCTGTAAATGTTAAATCACAATAGTAAAGTAAAGAATCATATTGATACTTACAGGAAATCGAT